TAGATGACTGCGTCGATTAGGCTGGCGACTGAGTAGATGCCGCCGATGATCGCGACGACATTCGTGATGAAATGGCCAAAGGAGCGCTCGCGTTCGGTGTACTTGACCATTAGAGGCGACAGTTCGTATTGGAAGAATGCGCCTGGCATTCCCGACTCGCCGCTCATCACAGAGACGACTTTTTTGTGTTTTGTAACTGAGAATTGATTCGAGTGCATGATAGAGTTGTTTTTGTTCACGTATGCGGTGGGGACGATTTTTATGTAGTACTGGAACATTGTTGCTCCTAGAAAATAGAAAAATATTAGGTTTTACGATAATTAAAGCGAAAAAACACAGAAAAACGCAGAATTTTTAATAATTAACGCAATTAATCTTAATTTTTACAAGATATGAAGATGAAATCAATAGAATTTCAAGTTTTTGGAGCAAAATAGTGATTTTCATGTTTTAATTCGTGTTTTAAAGCAAAAAACACATAAAACTTGTCAAATTTTTAATAAATAACGCAATTAACTTAAATTTTTACAAAAGTATTAAAAGAAAATGCCTAAAATTTCGTTTTTTTTTTAAAGAAATTTTGTTTACACGAGTTTATGAATGATTACACTCAAATTAATGAATGATGACACAGTTAAAGTACATTTCAAGTACCAAAATAGCAGTTTCATCCGCCTGTTCTTATTCTATCGGTACTTCAACTTATTTCGAGTGTTTTGAGATAAATTTGGTGTTGTTAATTACATCCAGTAATTTACAACACTCTTCACAGTGTTTTTCACGTATAAACTGAGAGTATATAAGCTGCGTTTGATTTTTTTTTTGTATCAGTTCAAAATAATTGACACCAAAATGAATCTACTTCAATTAACTATTTTCGCGAGTGTTCTACTTGCATCGGTATACGCTAAACCGACCGCAAACACAAAAGGCAAGAATTACATTGTAATTTCTTTAGAAGAAAAGACATGGTTTGAAGCAATGCAATTCTGCCATCTTGTCGGCATGGAATTGACCACGGTTGAAAACGCCGACGACGACTTAAATCTATACCGAACTATTTATGGCGCTGGTGAGTAAAATATAAACAAATATCTTAAACAAAGAATTAATAAACATGTGTGTCTAAAGGATTGGAACAAAAAAAGATTTGGACCTCTGGAAACGACCTTGTTTCGGAAGGATCTTTTATCTTCAATAGAAGCGAATAGAATTCTATTTGAAATTGTTATATATCCCCACCATGATTAAATATCTGTCAAATGACAAACGCCGCCATTACCGACACGCTGTCATCTGCGACCTCAACAAAGGTCAATGGTCGCATGCGTTAAATTTAGTTTTTAATACCGTGCTTGTAAATACAGCCACATCGAAAATGCCGATGCCGGGTGGAGTATACCAACAGCAAGGCCCATCATGCTTCGACAAGATGAAGATGGGCTTCATACTCGGTTTCTGCGTAGGCATGGCGAGCGGCGCGCTATTCGGCGG